ACTCCTTGAACCTGGGATGCTGTGATGGTCACTTCTCTCTCTTGCAGTCAAGAAGACGACTCTGAAAAAATCCTCCATTCCTTTCAAAAGTAGGGAGGATGATAATTAAAGCGGAATTTCCTGTCTTTTCAGAGTTGAAAGATAAACAGAGCATCCTGTATAGCTACACCTCTTGTTCTCTCTGAATGTTGTGAGTAGAAGGGAAGGCAGAAAAATAAAAAACAGAGAAGCCCATCTTTGCCCTTCAATAAACTTAGCATTCCTCTGAGAATGACTGTGGATATCTGAGGAGAGGAGGCATTCGAGTGAAGCAGACACATTCAGAGGAGTTTCTCCACAGTCCCAAGAAGGCTGAAGCGTCTTACTTGGGTATCAGCCACATCTCTGTCACCTACAAATTTGCCTCAGTTGGACATATTCGAAACTAACAGAAGTTGTGACACTAGAGCATAAACCTCCACTGCAACTAGTAGTGCACAGGGAAGCAAAGTTTGACGCAAAGTCCAAAAGAGGTTTTCGTGTATGAAGAGAGATCAAAAAAAAAAAAAAAAAGGGGGCCAAATAAGCAGGAAAAGTTGTCTCATCCAATCACATAAGTCAGACAGCAGTGAAATTAAATGCGCAGCACTGCGCTCTAAAGCTTGTTGTTTTCCTTGGGCCTCGAAATTCCTTGTTTTTAGGAAAAAGCACTGTGTGAATAAGCTTGCTTTACCTCCAGCGTGTCCGATAAGGCTGTACCTACCTGAAGCATAAGCTCCCTGCAGCTAGTGAAGTCTGAGATGAGTGTTCCTAAATAACTGTGAGAGCTGGTGCAATGGGCTGTGGTTTGTGTGGGTGGCTTGGGAAGCTCTACACCAGCTCTACTGGTAAAGATGAACATCATGCATGGGGATACAGCTGTATGCTTGAGGTTGTTGGTTTGTAATTTGAAATCTCATTATGGCTAGAATATTTCCTGTTTTTTGATGCTTTTCCTTTTTTTTTTTTTTTTTTTGTAAAATAAACCTGTGCTAACTATGGAAAAGTTTCATTTAGAGTTACAGCCACATACATCTCTGATCTGTAAACTGTTTTTTGAAATTCTAATGTTCTATCACAATCAGGATACTCTGAAAAGAGGGCTGTGACTATTGTCAAGCAGAGTTTCAATTTTTAGCCATCCAGTTATACGTCTATAATATATATACTATTACTATTATATATACTATTTAGAAAGACTCTCAGCTGCTTTTGTTAGCAACATTACAGCCATAAATGTTACCAAACAAGAATTAATATATATAAGTGTTGAAATGTTTGTTAGTAAACAATTAGAAATATATACTCACAAACTCTCAACTATATATAAAGATTCTGGAACAAAAGACCAATACCTCCATTTAAACAAAAAAAGGGAGGATATTCTCTTTTCTTCTAAATGTGTTATGTAAAGAATAGTATTACTGCCCCATCTCCCCAAGTGCTGTTTTTAATGTATTCATTATTTGATATCAGTGGGAGAAATATATCTGGCATCACATTCACTGTATTTCCTTCTTTTTTTTTTTGTGTTGTTTCATGATCATTCAGTGGATATGTTTTTCCTTCCCCACAACTTGGTAGGGAGTGAGGACTACAGCAGAAAATTTAACACAGATTGGTAGGGAGTGAGGACTATAGTAGAAAATTTAACACAGATTATGTTCTGGAAAACATGCAAGTAGGATTTCTTTTACAATACTGTCTTTCTCATTCAATAAATGAGAGAGAAAAAGAATTAATATCCATTTTTGGAGAACGTAATGGTGAAAACACAAATTTCTTCATTGATCAATGCTATGTATAAATATCCTTGAGGATATTTACAGGCAAGCTGCCAACAGGTAACCCGAATGTTTAGTGCCTATTCAAGTTTTGCCCATCTATTAGGAAACTAAAAAAAGTTGCTTTTAATTTAACACAGCTATTTGAAAATGAAATGATGAAATATCTTTCAGTTACATCTGATGCTTCTGAAACTCTGCTTAATGAAAGCCATTTTGCTAACATTGCTCGTTGCTCATTTCAATAGGTCTTCCACCTGCTGCAGCACCAGCAGAATATGAAGCACTGTTTATAATGTGAGCATTAACTTTCCCATTCAAATACCTATATTAAGTGTTGATTTTCATCCAACTTCAGTGCAGCTGGAAGCTGATAATGAAGTCTAAACTAAGCTCTAATGTCATTGGTGTAATAAACATGATAATTTTCTTTGCAGCAACAATTAATGGTAGACACACAATTATTTTCAGCAATCAAAAATTTAAGCCAATTTGTCTCAGGTACATCTGTACCAACTCTGTAATTCCAATGAGGGGGCAAGCATGCAGGTGGAAAAGCAGAGTTTTATTTTCAGCGTGTACATTGTGTAAATTTTGAAACACATTCCTGAACTGAATGAGTAATCTTCTCCTTAGAGGCAAACAACTGTGGCCATTCAGTAACTACTAAAGAAAAGGATGAAGTAAAAGCAAAACTGGAAGCTACCAGATGATAATGTATTTTTTCAGGCAGAAAGCAAATCTCCAAATACTACACAGTTTTGCTTACAAATAAACTACAGATACAGCTCCAGTTACAGGTTTACTATAGTCTGCTATAGAATCCTATTGTGAGTTACAACTTGACAACTTCAGATTTCATTTTAATTTTACATGCATTCTTCATTTCTTAAGATACACAGCAGTAACGGCAATTAAAAGGAAAGACTAAAAGAAAGCTATAACAATATAAGCTGTTCCAGTACTAGTTATACGTAGTAGTAGATGAAAAAAAGAGGAGGATTTTGGAACTAAAGTTATTTCAACTTGGAATGTATTCCCCATACAAAATTTTCAGTAAAGGCAAATGAGTAACAAACTGCTAACTCTCAAACATTTGCAGTCACAAAAACAAAATATGTAGATGTTAAATAAAGTTTCAGTGGAGCAGTGCAACTTAGCTTTCTTCTGATAATAGCTGTTCCTCCCCAAGTTTCACCTTTCCAAAAATGAAACAACAAAAAAATCAAATCCATCAAGGAGAATGTAGAGTGGAAATAATTAACAAAGCCTGTATTGTCTTTGTGTTGTCCAGATAAGGTGCAGAAGCCTTGCAGGGAAAGAATATACGCTTTCAACCAAATCAGAACTTTGACCCTGCTCTGTCCCTCTGAACAGCTCACTCTGCAGATCCTGATATCATATTTCCTGTCTTAGAGAGAAAGGAAGTTCAAGAAAGATGGAAAGTCTGCAGACAGCAGAGTGATAGTGAAGATAGAAAAATAGGTTGCTGCCTTACACTACAATATTAAATGTTTTTATTCACTTACTCACTGGTACAGATTTGTCTTCCTGAGACAGCACTCTAAGGAAGAACAAATTTAGTTTAACAGAACGGTATATTGTAAAATATCATATATTTGCATGTCGTAAGACTTAGATATGGTGGAATAAATGTGGATACTGAATATCTAAACTGAAAGTTATTTAATTGCTTAGTCTTTGCCATGGTGCCTTCCTGTTAGTTCATGTTTAATATTTGTCTTCAAATAAAGTGCTTTTTATTTTTTTTTGAAAATCTGGAATTTCTAGTGCTGTGTCCCTGTTAATATTTAAATTTATTTCAAGAACTTCATCACCCATTCTTTACTGCATACATGAATTACACTCACAACAGGCTACCTCATTATAGGAGCCCTGGGGTGCTTTATAATTTTAATAAAATTATTTCCTATAAAGAAATAATCACCTATTCAAATGAATACCAGGCAAAGTCAGCTGCTTGATCATTGAATAGTCTCCTGGAGCAGCATAAGCACTAGAAGAGCTAGGCCACCAATAGCTACTGGGTAGATCTCAGTAGCAGGTGTAGGATGAAAAAGAGAATGACCCATAGGCAATACAGCTTTCTGTGCAGAGCAAAGGAGTACAGAGATTGCTTTCCATCCTTCTCCCTCTTCTAGTCCATGGTGCACCTTTTTTTCACATAAATTAGCACAAAACAAACAGATTCCTAGTGCTGAGTCACCATAAACAATTCAGACGAAAATGTCATCTAGTAACTTTGAAGAAATTGAATAGATATTAATGGAAATATTTCATCTGTTGCAGTTGTACTCAAACACTGGCAACACTACAGTGTTGCAATAGGGCTTTATAAGTGTGTATGGTCTTAAATAAAAACAGGTCACATGTCTTCACCGTCAACAATATAGGATAGTGTTGAATGATAGGTTTATATTTGGTAACTTATTGCATTTTTTTTCTGGGTAATGAATTATCTTATCCAGGTGTATAAAGTAAGGAAACTCCAAATCATGTATGAATACAGAATCAAAACCTTCATTTTGCTTTTAAGAATAAGCTGAAAGTTGAATTATATTGCTGTTTATCCACAAAACCATAACAATGACAAACAAGTATATAATCAAACAAGTATGCCTTAGCATAACCAAAATAAGTAGTCTTCTACTTTCACTGAACGAAAAAAAATCAAAAGAAAAAAAATAAAAGCAACCACGGCCAGTATGAGCTATAATCCCATTGATGGCTATTAACAAAAGGGCATGCTGAATACAGACCACAGTATGATCACTGTTAGCTGTGACAAGCAAAAACAAAATGTTATGTTTACCTTTAAAATAATATTTGCAAGAAAAAGTTCATTTGAAAATTCATTGCAATATTTTTTAGGAAGTTTAGTCCTTGTAAAGCACTGCTTCAAATTAAGGAAGGCACGAAAGAACTTAAAAGAGTTTCCTTGCTGGTCACACTACAGCAGTGCAATGCCCTGGCAGTGACTGTCAGCAGGACCTCTGGAAAGAGCTGAAAGGAGTGTACAAGAAGAAAATACAAAGGGTAAACAATTTTAGTCACTAGAGACCTGAGTTATTTAAAAACTGGTGATGCAATGATGACAGCTTCTGCAGTCTCCTGGTTTATCCAGAAACAAATGAACTGACTCTCCTGCTTCTTCTTCATCCTCTGCTTATTTTCTATTTAGACCATTATATCAAATAGTGCTTTCAATAGACATAAAGGTACTTCTGGGATGGAGACATTCACCTACAGACGCTGCTCGCTCAGCAGCCGGTTCCAGTTTATAAAAGTGTGGGTGACAGGGAGTTTTCTCCACAGAGTTTTCCCCTATATGCACTCTGACAAGACCCACATGTTTTCCAGGATGCCCATGTGCAGCTTGTTGTCCTCTACCTTGATGAACTTCACAAATTTTGTGGCGAGCTGACTTCAATCGGTCATGTTGAGTGGTTTGCTCATTGATTTTCTGGTCGTGATGTGGAGGTTGGCACACTGGACATAGTGCATCTGCACGAGGAAGAGCCCTGTCACCTGCATGGTGATGGAAGTGAGAGCAAGAGTCCAGTTGGATTTCCAGAGGCCATTCCAGCATCCTGAAGGCTCATACTGGGTGAGCCTCCACAGAGGCCACAAAGACCTGCGCATTCCTCGCGCTTTTCTGGAAGACGCAGCTGTTGCCAGAGGGGAAGTGGCGGCTCACACTGGCAGCCAGGCCCTTGGCGCAGTTCCCCCTCATCATTGCCTTGGGCACATGTCCGGGGCCCCCTAACAAGTGGTGAGATGGTGGCAGGGCACCTCGTAGCTCCAAAGGCAGTGTGAGACCGTAGCTGGGCAGTGTGAAATGGCAGCTGGGCAGCACAAGATGGAGACAGGCAGTGCAAAATGGGTGACTAGGAAATGCAAGATGGCGGCCAGGCAGCACAAGATGGTGGCCAGACACCTTGAGATGTGGCTGGGTAGCACAAGATGCTGGCTGGACCACTGGAGATGGTGGCCGAGCATCTGGAGATGGTGGTCATTTGTGACCTCACAGCAGCCTTGCAGCGGAGCCCCAGTGGGGCCAGCAAAGAAGGCGGCGGCGGGAGCTGGGGATCCGGGGCGGGGGCCAGGCAGTGGGGCTGGGGAGCAGGGGAAAGCCCCCACGGGGCCCGGGGCCGAGGTGATGTCCTGCTGCGCACTGCTGACACCACCGCAGTGAGGGGAGCCGGAGCCGGCGATGCGGAACGGCCATGGAAGAGAACAGATATCCTCCTCTTGGATCGCCTTTGTGCCACGCTACCATGGCCGCGCACCTGCCTGTCCCCAGGGGAAGGGGCTGGCAGCCTCTAGGGACCATCTGGGCCCCTGCTGCTTCACATGCAGCCTCCCCATCCAAGGGATTTTTTCACACCTGTCTGCCCTCATTTTTACCTTGATGATACCCTTCATCTTGTCCCATTTTGCTACTTTAGCCTTCGGAGTCTCCAGGCATGGGTCCCTCCCTGCACCCTATTTTAAAAGGCACCAAAATGAGTTAGAAATCTCCTTAACCCCATTCCCCTTGCACGTGGTTTTTGTCCATCATTCAGAATGAGTTCAGAAGCGGGAAGATCGATTTAGACAGTACAATGAAACTGCTCGATAAACTCCAAATCCCTTTCGATTACGTTCACGTGAAACATCTTTTTAAGGTAAGGAATGTATAGATTAATCAGTTACCTACATTTACAAGGTCAGCTGAGCAAGTAATATAATAAAAATAAAAAACAGTTGATCTTGAACAGGTTTAGTAGGGGAGATTAAGCTCTGGACAGATAGAAACTCTTAGATTATGCCAAGCTGTAGAGGAAAATATTGGTATTTCTCCACAGAGACTTGTTCTTCTCTCCTCCTTCTGCCTTGCCCAAGGTAAAAATAGTTGAGGGAGCTCAGTCTTTTTTAAAAGTGAGGGCTGCTGCCTATAATTTTTTTTCAATGTCTTGTGCTGTACAGAGAGAGAATTGCCAAGCCAGAAGGACTTGCAACTCCTTATCATTGTCTTTTCTATTTTCCAATGACTTTGCTTTCAGCGAGAAATTTTAGATGATCAATTTGTGGGCATAGAAGAGAATAATTATTTGAGCAACTGACCTGTATAGAACAAGCCTAATCTATTATATTTAACAATACAATATACTTATCAGTATGATCTAATTATTCTTAACAGTGCAGCTAGCTGGTTTTGAGGGAGTCTGGAGTATTTTGATTGTTTTTTTCTTTGGCTTCAGTACAATTTGGCTTTCTTACAATAGTTTGTAAAAATGATCAGCAATTTGAAAGGATATCTTACTACCATCATTTTCACTAAAACTATACATCAATAGTTAATCAAAGAGTTATACAAGACTAAAAACACCTTATACGGTTTTTAGAGAACCGGCTTTTTTCTTTTGTTTATTCTCTTTTAACTTATTTTAAAAACTTATAATAAATATTATTACCTTGAACATTACATAATTATTACATTATAACAATTATTTCAAAGCACCCCTGGGTGCAGTAGTATTGTCTGCATAACTGAGATAGAAAATTACTCTTTTTGCTCAACTTCATTTCGTGCCAATAACTACATAAAGGTCTCCTAAATCCTGATAGAGTTGATATTTCTTTTCATGCTTTTCAGACATGAGTGAATTTGCAGATTGTTAAAGACATTAAAAATAGATGGAAGATATCAACCTTAAATTCGTGATTTTTCAAGCATTGATGGAAATGTATTATTAGTGTTTGCATTGAATTATTTCTTGCTGATGATTTTAGTTGAAGATGATAATTAATTTTCTCGTAAACCAACTCCAAGAAAATACTTAAATATGAATTTGTAAAATGATTTGGTTAGAACTCCCCATGAAACTTGCATTTGTTCCTATTTTGGTTATCTAATATAGCTTTGCACTTATGGTTTTTCTCTTTCAGAGAAAGAGAAATATTACTTCATAGGAAGAATCTCATAACATACCATTAGGTCTTGAGTATTCATGGTCTTTCTTGAAGAGGAGTTAGTTGAGCAGTGAAGAAAAATCTGCAAACATTTTGGGTTTTGCATTTTGCTCAGTTTACAGGAATAATCAGTGGGGCAATGGAATGGCATTTATTTACAATCTTTGCCCTTTATTATTATGTTTTTTTTTTTAGAATAAAATCCCCATTTGTCTTAATCTGGCAACTTTTAGCAAAACACAAGTTACACAGCTAGAAACATCTACATTTTGTAGGCACAAATACACATTTTGTGTAGAAAATTTTAATAGCATAAACAGGATAAATAGCACTGTCAAGCCTGAGGAAAAACGCATGTTCCAGAAACAGTAATAAACAGTATTCAACTCAGTCTCTCTCACTGTTTTGATTTTTCTAGTAGCTTTTATACTCAAATATTAAAATTAATAAATATGCTAACACTTTGTAAGCTGTATTTATGAAAACAAGCTTTTGGTTTAAGAATTCTGAATATGCAAATAAATTTGTAGGAGTTAAACATGCTGGTCTGTTAAGAATGGAAGGTTGTACTGTAGGTTCTTATAAAGTATCTTTTCTCCAAACTTCAGATAATGCTTCTTATTTGACATATTGAAGGGCTTGGATCTCAAGATAATTTAGTCAAACTTATTTCATTTTTGATATTAATATTTACTGTATATTGTATGTAAATTTAACATAAAGTGTTTACAAGTGTTTAAGTTTCAGTTGAACTGATATAGTTCTTACGCTGTGGACTTTAAATATTGAATTCTATTTCATTGGCGTATTATATAGCAAGTTTTAATACTGTATATGCATTATATATAAATGTACTGTGACAGATGCTAGTTATGTCATACAATGTATTGTAATTTACTTTTTTTTTTTTTAATCACAAGGACAAATTGTAAAAGTTGCACATAGAAGTTCTTTACCTCTTGTAATATGTTTTAGAGGACTGTTGCTCATCTGTCCTTAAATCTTTGCAGACCTTTTACTGACTTTTTTTTTCCAGAAAACCGTTGACAAACGGAAGGCCCCCACTATTAACATAGAAGACTTCAGGGCGATTTATCGAACTCTTGTGCACAGACCTGAATTCCATGAACTTTTCTGCACTTATTCTCCAAACCAAAAAATTCTAGCTGAGTCAGAGCTCATCACTTTCCTCAAGAAAGAACAATTTGAAACAGAGGCTAATGAAACAACTGCCTTGGAAATTATTTCAAAGTATGAACCCATCGAGGAAGGTATGTATCATTTAATGATTTAATTTTAAGGTAATTGCTGTGGTTCTGTCATTTAGTCTGTTTTGTTTGAATGCCTGTCTGACCATAGAAATGGACATTTTAAAGAAAACTAATGTATATTATTGGTGAACATGAATATATACATGTTGTATATATATTGAATTTATGTCTTTAATTGCTAAGGATGTGGTAATAGAAGAAAGTATGATAAACACTGTAAATTTGCACTGCATATTGTTCACTGTTAGCACATTACTTCCAGATCTTTCTCAATCCTTGCTGAAGTTGACTGGTTCAAAACCTACAGGCAGACTGCTTCAAACAAAATGCAGATTTAGTAGAGTAGATGAGCTGATAGACACTGTCCTAAATCCCAATGCCCAAAAGACTTATCAGTGTCCATTACTACAAAGATTGAATTAACTATATGTCTATTGATTTAACTATATGTCTAAAAATCATTTTGCTTTGGAAATAGAAGTTAATATAGGAATATTAGTGTTTGAATGTAAAAAAAAATAGAAATTATGTTTTGTTAGCAAATTGTCTGATCAGTACAGGATGTTTCTTTTGGAAACTCAATTACAGGAAATGCATCTGCCTCTATTTTCAGGTGTATCTGACATATTCCTGAAACATACACACCTGCACTCGGTGTGTCCATGTTTGAGTGTTGTATAGCAGAAAGTTTAAACATAAGAATCCTCTAATTTGTAGATATTGCAGAAGGGAAAAATATGCAAGGATACATCTACTGAGAAAGCTTGAAAATTAGAATAGTTACTCTTGAGTTTGCCCTCAGTTGGATATCATTTGAAAAGATATCCATGATGTACTAAAACACTTCCTGAATTTTTCAAATGGAAAGGGACCTCAGCCTTTTAGTCCAGTCCTCTGCACAAAGTAAGGTCAAAAGTGAATTTAGCCAGGTTGCTTGGGAATTTTCCTACTGGAATCTTGGAAACCTCTAAAGACAGAGACAAGATATTCTGTGGGGAACTTGTTACACATCTTGACTGTCCTTACAGTCAAGTCTTCTCCTCTTTTTACTCAATCACAAGTATTTATGTTTCAGCCTATGTTTACTGTCTCTTTCATTTCCATGACCCATCTCCATAAAGAACTTGTCTCTCAACTTAAAAAACTCTTAGTCATTCCTAGAAGACTAGTACTAGATCTTCTCTAGGTCTTCTCCAGCTTGAAGAAGCCCAGATCCCTAGTTGTATTCTCACAGGTTATGGCCTCCAGCCTTCTGCTGGACTGTTCCACTTATTCAACACCTTTATTATATTGAGAGACCCAAACCTGGACATAGATGCGGTGTAAAAAATGTCGAGTAAAGAGTAGTAGTTAATTCCCCCAGCCATTCTGCTGTGGATTCTGCCCAGTGTTAATATCCACTGTTGTAAGGGCTCACTGCTACTGCAGGACCCTCAGGTCCTTTCCAGCAGAGCCACCCACCAACCAGTCAGTGCCCAGTCTGTATCATTATAGAAGATTCGTTCTT